ACCTCTGGTTCCAAGCAGCAACGGGACCAGCCGAGACAGAACTCTAAATGAAGCCCTTCTGAGAAAAGTGTATTTGTGTCCTCTCCCACAGCTTGTTTAGAGCCATCTGGGCTCGGTGTAAACACAAGCTGCGAGACTTTCTTTCAACCAGCCCTTTTCTATTTACATCAAAGGGCTCAAGAGTGTAGAAGCGCACACTTCGGGAGGAGACTGGCGAAAGAGAGGCTCAGCGTGCTTGCGTAGTGATGCTGTGAAACCAGCAAGAGGAATATCAGCATCAGCACCAAAGTAGAAGTGAGACAAACGAAGAGAGACAAAAATGGGGGAAAGGGACAGAGAGGCTGAATGATGAAAGGGAAGAAAAAACACAGGGTACATCCCGATTCCCTTCATCATGTCCTCATTGCCCTTACTCGCATAGTTGCTCCCACTTACAAGGAAGAGATGCATGGAGGAATCACAAATCCTCTGAATTGACGTCAGTGGCTGATCACTCACTAAATGTGCATGACTTGCATCTGCATTTATCAATTTGTTTTCACTTATAAATGCATTAGTTAATAATCCCAGATTGTGATGAAGCCTCATAATGTGTAATAACAATTTAGTGCCCAAGCCATTTTGTACAAAGGGAAAAAAAGCTGACATTACAACGTTAGTCACTTCTGGCTGATACACAGGGGTCGATCGCTGCACTATCACAGTATGGAAATGATATATCTGCATTTGTGTACATCCACATCAGTAATTTGATAAAACTGCAGAGTTGAGGTGATGGGATTTCAATGCAGCATCCAATTACTTAGACATTTTTCAATGGGGAGTATTTGTCTGACAAAAGACTTGTGAATCCGCCAACTAAGCAGCTCTGAGCAGAATTAAGGTGAAGGAAACATTTTTAATGACTGACCGACTCCAGCGGTGCGGAGGTTTGAAATAACAGAATTAGGATACACCCACAGAGAGAGAGAGAGAGTAACAAGGAGAGGGAGCGCAAACAAAACAACACACATCTGCTGGTAAAACACAAAACAGACCTTGAGTGTGTTGCTTCACGCTCTGTCTAGTTGACACACATGCAAAGAAACATGTGCACACAGCTGGTGCAGAGACCACATCACTGAGGTCCCACTGGCGATGTCTTCCATAACCACCGTTTGTGGGAAAAAAAATGGCCTGGGCTAACCGGACTGCAGCATAGCATGGGACTACATTTCCCATAATGCCACTGCAGCAATGCAGCAGTGGGCATGGACTTTATCATGCATGCATTCTGCAAGTATTATTATCCATAAGAATAAAGCCGGTAGGAACTATTTTATTTGTTTTACTTTTCTAGAACACATTGTTCTACATTGTTCTGCTATTTAGTATGTGAGGTTTTTTTTAGTAAATCCCAAACCTTAAAAAAACGATTGTACACAAACTGCAGACTATTCCCGGTGAAATATTACAGTATCCAAACACTGGACGCAATGACGACAACGACCACCGTAAACCCAATGTAAATGTAAGTTTAAGATTCAACTTTGGTAGGTGCGATATGTTTTTTATCTTAGTTCAGACTTGTTTTTGGTCCGCAATTACAGTTCAGTGCGTCCGGAGGAATACATGCTACATTTTGGTCAAACAAAAGTCTTTTGAACCACAGTACATATACTGAGCACGTTGTGCATAGTATGTGATTTCAGACGCAGCATTGCTAAGTCTACATAGAAAGAATCTGAACATTACAAACAGTAATGTTAAAGAAAAGTGTATGCTTTTCCACTTGTCCATGATGCTTCATTAGCCTCTTAAAAGACACTGGAAAGACTCCACTCTGGTAGATACAAGTGTTTTTTGTGCAAACAAGTTGGGATTTTATCAGAAATCCATTGAGTAGCTGGTCAGCTGCCGACACCATCTACATGCACAATGCGGCACAGATTAACCATCTCTACTCACCTCCGCTGAAATGTTGTGTATTTAGGACATCCAGTAAAACCGCCATTATGTTGTAAAAATGAAGCCAATCAACTGCTGACCGTAGTCTCAACCAAGCCCACAAAGTACAAGTACTCCGCTGCCACCCATGCCTCATGATGTCACATCCTCCCTGGCAGGGCACGCCTTCCTGCTCTTCACCCCCTGGCCTCATCATCCCTCATAAAAGTCCAACAAAGACCAAACAACACAGTAAACCAACACAGCCTTGTAAAACACACATAGACACACACACACATATTAACACACTCACATTCCATAGCAGGGTGCTCTAACACACCCTCTAGAGTCTTGTCCTTTGATGCGAGTGTGGGAAAGCTCAGGGGAATGGTCTTAGTGGGGGAGGAAGAGAGAATGGGAGAGGTGGGGGTTGAGAGGGGGAGGGAAGAGGAGGGAGAAGAGTGTATACATGAGCGCAACCCGATGAGACGGTGAGAGATAGGAGGGGGGGGGGGGGCAATTGAAGCTGACCCCCGGCGCACCGAGAGGTCAGTCTGATTAAACAGGGGACGGAGACACGCACACACACACACACACACACACACACACACACACACACACACATAGAGTGCCTGCTAATTAACAGACTGATACAGAGAATGATTCCAGATGCGGATACACAAAAGTGGCACAAAGAAACACCCATTAAGTCGTGGAGGCAAAATAACACAGCGACAGGCTCTTGAAGGCATCAGCGAATAAGGGAGAGCAGAGAACCAGCAACACAACTGACAGAACTACTGAAAAGGGCCTGAAAGCTGTTCTACATTTCAGAGCAAATGTGAATTTTTGGACTGTGCACGGTGCAGTTCTGAATAGATTTTAAACGTTTTTTAACTTTCAGTCCAAATAAAAGTGTATATTTCAGCCAGTAGCATTTAGTGGTGGTGTGGCTAATGAGCAGTACTTAACATCAATCCAAGAAATACAATAATATCTTAGCTGCTCCAGGTTTGGTTTAAGTATAGAGGCAGAAAAGAAGCAAAGAGGCGGGAGGAAAAGAAGTCGAGAGGAGTAAAAGAGGGGGAGAGAGAGAAGTGAGCCGAGGAGAAGGAAGGCTGAGCGCTCATATGAAAGAATCTCTTTCGGCTGCCGGTTCTGCCTTGGCAGAGCCTGTGTGTGCGTACGTGTATGCATATTTGCATGTGTGCACCACAGTGCAGCAGCTAAACAGAGGTTACTTTATATAAAAGCCGGTCCCTGGTTGTGCCCTGTGGTCTCTGTAATCTCGCTCTCTGTCTCTCACACACACACACACAAGTACACAAGCATGCGCAAACCCGGAGCTCTGAGGTCTCAGTAATCACACCAGAGTCTCTAAAGAGCGACTCGGTTAGCCTTCAAAACACACCGCCACACTCCAGCTCTTATTAAACCCAGTGACCTCCTCCAGATGGACACAGAGAGAAAGTGAGAGCAAGAGTTTGTGTGTGTGTGGCCCTCCACATTAATAATATGTGCATTCAAACATGACCCCGAGCCACCCGCCCAATTAACCGTCATTGACTGCAGTAAAAGGCACCGGAAAAAGCTCACACGGCCTGCGATGCTAAATTTTGCAAGTGCACACATGCAGCCCCACAAATAAACAGGCAACCGCCATGACCCCGGATACGTCAGTGCTGTGTGTTTTTTTTGCAAATCAGTCTGGTATCCCATTAATCTATTCACCGTAAACCCTTCTTTCATCTCTCTTTTCTTTCCATCTTTCTGCAACTCATTGATCCTAATCTATGAATTTCTATGTCAGTTGTATCAGCACATCTTTGCATCCGCCCATCCCATCATGTACTGTTTCTATCTGGCATTATCTGAGCCTCTAAGGTCTGCCTAGAGCGATTCCTCTGATTTCAGGGAAAAATTGAATTACACGGCGGGCGGAGAAAAGAAGGCGGGCTGTAATTAGATGCAACATAGAGTATGGGGTGGTGGTGGTGGTGGTGGTGGTGGAGGGGGGGGGGGCAGGAGTTTTTTGCAGGAGGGAGTCAGGGTCTGAGCCAAAAGTGCTCTCACTCAAAGAAAACCTTCACAGAGGGCAAAGAAAGAGAGAGAAGAAGCGAGAGACAGACAGAAGGAGGGAGATTCAGAAGAAAACAAAGGCGCCCTTTCAAGGTTTCTGAGTAACAGCTTACTCTGCTGACATCATCAAAGTGAGACGCTTTTCCACAAGAGTTGGGGGAATTCCCGTGTTACTGCCACCTCTTTCCGCCTAAGAGAGCCTCTGAGTGGCTTGCATGTCCACTCTTTTCATGTACGGATATCAGATGCAGCTAGAGAGTGAGACAATGGCGGTCCATTCTGTCCCAATCGGTTATTGACTCTGCTTTCAACTACTGTAGTCTTATTCAATTTGAAGATAACACGCGCAGGAGCAAACTTTTCCTCGCCCCTAGTGCGGCATTATTGACTAAAAGACTACAATTAAGGACCATTGTGTACACCCATGTGCAAAAAAATCTATTAAAAAAAGTATATTAAATATATATATATGCTGAATAACTTTACAATTTGTCACAATACTGTTATAAAGCAGTTGAAAGAATGGCGCAATATGATGCGTTCATGTGCTTGTGGAAAGTTACAACATCCTAGGTTTGGGATTCATCTCCTCAACTTCCAAGAATCCTTGCTTTCACCTGTATCAGCACATAATAAAGGAATTACTAGCGTGTTATTCCCTGTGTGGGTTCCCTATCTCAAGCTAGTTTCAAGTCTCCATAATTAGATTTACATGATAAACTGTGATAAACACCCAATGGCTAGCTAGGAGGTAACAGGAAATCTTTAAAAAATACATGAATACATAATTTGGAAATACATTTCCCCTATGGTCAAGTTGTTTTGCTGTCCAAATAAATAGTGAGTGAAGTTTCAACCCACAAACATCATGTACGCATGTGCAGCCAGCATATGATTAAAGTGATGGGAAATACTCAAAGTGACACACATCAGAGCAGCCACCAGGCCACATGTTAATACGATAATATAATAATAGAGTATATCAAGGGACTGACCCTGGATGCATTGCAGTGAGCCATCCTCTGCCCGGATGGTGAACGTCTCCCCCGGGTTCACCTGCACCAGGATCACCTGCACCAACAACACGTACACAAAAACCCCACAGTTACATTCACTTCCTATGTATCTGATCTGTGCTTTCTGTCGTGCATATTGGTAGAATACATGCATGCATACATCTTCAACAATCACAAGAAAACGACAGACTCTCTGCTGGGCAGCCAATAGGCTTGCAGAAGTGACATAACACACAATAGGCATTGGATCCCTGAGTAGGGCGGACACAGAGTTCACACACACATATGAATGAGGTGTTAGGTAAGCTAATGGTGAGACAATGCTGCCGTCTCACACACCCAGATTTGAGAAAAACCTTTCTCCTTTAACCACGCTCACTGGCAGGAAACCACTGAAACCAGTACAAACACAGAGTGATGTGTACATCCCAGTTAAACATGCAGACAGGTGGCACACACACAAATGAATGCCGAAATATGTGACAGTGTTTTGATTTCCCAGTGTTTCTGCTGAATATGCAGGAAGGGAGTGCGTGTGCATGCACCTTACCGTCATATTCTCCGCATACAGATTGTTGAGAGTGCACACATGGCTGTAGACATGAAACAGGTGACCCTCCATTACACACGCGTGCACACGTATTCACGCACACATGCATCTACAGCCCCGTCTATGCTCTACAGGTGTGCCGTTGTAAAATCCTCATATCCTGCGCTCCTCCTGTAGTGTCTGCATGCTCTCCCATCTCAGCACTGACCTGCTCCTCTCCCTCAGACACACACACACACACACACACACACACACACACACACACACACACACACACACACTTCCTGCTCTGTCTGCTGCAGCAGCTGTTGTTGCTATGGGAACCCCAGCATCGTACAGGGCGACCCATGTTTCCCAAAGACTGAGAAAACCCCCGAATCAGACCATGTGGGTGGTTGTGTGCGGTGTGAGTGCATATATGTGCGTTGTGTATAAACCTGCTATATACTATAGTTCATGTAGCGTATTTGTTCTGTTTTGATAGATTGATTGGTCTCTGATGCTGTAACGATCAGCTAATGGTTTAATACACTCACAGCTTTTTATATATTAAGTTGGAAACTTTTTTTGACTTCTTCTAGATTTTAGTGTAATATGCACTTTCAGCATACTGACAAAATATGATTTCGGCTGAACCGACATTCTCCAAACAACTTCTTCGGAAGTGTACAAACATTTTTTTAAGCATCTTCTGAGAAATATTTATCCAGTTTTTTTTTTCGTACAAAGGTTTTCAGGCAGCAATTGAGTTTTTGGAGTTACGATATATAAAGAGCCACACTGAAAATTAAAATTCTACTCCAGAAGAAAAAACTAAAATAATGCAAATTATCAAAAAAGATTAAAAACAGGCCTGCAGAGGGATCAGACATTATTAGAAAAGATTAAAATATCATTGTATATTTTAATAGTTGATTGGCCTTTCATGCAAAATATTTCCAAACGTCACCAACATGCCAGAACGAAGTCAAGTAGCGACATACGGGAGGAATGGAATGTACATTGTTGCACTTTATTATGTCAAACGGAAGATAATAACAAATAACTTTTCTTTCTCTTTTTTAAATCAGGAACGGTTTAAATTCTAATAGCAAGGGCTAGAGGTGAATAATAACTCATGTTAGTATACAGATAGTTAACCCAGGGAAACGTTTCACTTTTGCAGAAAGGAAAATGAAAGAAACCTTTGATTAGAAATTCCATTGAGTTACAGCTACAGATTAGATTTAGATTTGATTGTTTTGATGGTAGACCTTTGGCTCTTTTTAAGACATTTCTTTAAACATAAACAATTGTAGAATATTGTACTGTTGCACCTTTACAATGTGTCTGATGTCTTAGCTTGAATGCACTGAAGGAACACACAGACGCAGATAAACACACATGCAGGTGTAGGCAGGTAGACACAGATAGACAGACAGGAAAGCTGATTGACAAGCAAGCAGAGAAACACAAACACAGAATATGTACTCAGACTCAACACAGACACTTGTGTGCCTAGACAGATGCTAAAAGGGTCAAAGAAACACACACACAGACAGACTAAGAACAAACAAATACACACAAACACGGACACACAGATGCAGGTTCAAATCTATATAATCATCTGTCTAGAATCCTGATTCCACACTTGGAACCAAGTTTAAACTGCAGGGTGTTACATTAAAAAGAGCTCCCTAACTACTGTGTGTTGCAGCCAAAGCCCTCCCTAACTCTTATGCGTCACAGCCAAAACACCCCCACCGTGCTTCCTCTGGGCTGTGGGGAACAGGCCGGGGATGATCATCATCATCATCATCATCATCATCTCTCATCTACCAAAAGCACACGGTGTAAAAATATATCTGTGACAACAGGATTTAACCCAGGTCAATTAACTGTGATGCTTTTAATCACGGCATTCCCTTCCTGCCGCCTGTACCGAGCTCGGGTGGGGTCTTGTACTTTGAAGGCGATCCAGTTGGCTCTGCGGATTCTGATAAGATCGGTCAGCGTCAGAGAAGCAGGCAAATCCTTTTCCGAAGTAATCTAAACTGAGGCCTGGGATCCATCATTGGAGCCAGTTATATGTCTTTAAGATTGATTGATGCAAGTGTATGTGCGTGCATGCGTCTGTATTTATTTGTGTTCCTAATGCTTTACTGAGCTGTATTTTTGCATGCATGTGGTCAGTGTGTGTGCGTTGCAACACAGACACGTTGAGAGGTGGTGGCTGCATTTGTATAGTCATTCTGCAAGGATGACTGAATGCAAACAACAGGCGCGCACGCGCGCGTGTGTGTGTGTGTGTGTGTGTGTGTGTGTGTGTGTGTGTGTGCGTGTGTTTACCTGCTGTGCTGCGTCACCGTTAACCATGTGAGACATGAGAGGGACCTCCCCATTCAGGAGGGGGGGCGGAGCCAAGTCCAGCGGAATCTGGTCTGTCATCATCATTGTGACGTACATTCATGGAGAAATTCACTGAACTGCCCTACCTGGGAAAGTACAGAGAGAAATAGAGAGAATGAGGAACAGGGCACGTCAGTATTGTTAAGTTATAAACACACACACAGATGTTTCATTTTTTTTACATGAAAATAAGAACCAGATAAGAATTAGGGATTTTTTAAAAGCAATCAAACCAGGACGTCAAAAACACAACGACGAGAAAAACATGACGAATGATCTTAAGTGTCTGCTATACTTCAAACTTTCATCCAGAGGTGAAGGTACAATAAAATATGGCTTTATAAGCATAAGCAACAAAGAGCAGAACATTTGCTAAAGTTGGTCAGATTTCATAAAGTCCAGTCCTACATTTATGAAGAGATCGTTGGACATTTAAAAAAATGTTTATTTATGTTTATTTGGTTTCTTGCCAAAAGTCTGACAATAAGATTGTTACTATCTTCATGTCTAATAAATATGAAGCTGGAGCCAGCAGCCAGTTAGCCTAGCATAGCATAGCTTCTTCTACAGGAAACAAAATCCACCTATCAACACTTATGAAGCCCTTTTTATAACACATTGCATCTTGTTTGTTTAACCTGTTCAAAAACTGACATGTAAAAAGACTTATGCTAGGCTAAGCTAACCGGCAGGAGCTTCATATAACAAAACAGATGTGAGAGTAGTATCAATTCTCCCAAACAAGGAAGTAAATAAGTGTATTCCCCGAAATGTCAAACTACTCCTATTTAAAATGAAATGTGAGGCCAGGTAATACCAAAAGTGTATTAGGCCAGCCAATCAGTATGTTTTTTTTCATTTGTGTTTATTGTTGAATTTCCTCAACAACAAAACGTTTTCCACTTCCTGTGAGCGGAAAAAACCTCTTTGCATTGCTGAGGGGCTTTTACTCAATTTGTCTGTTTCCTTTGGGTCTACTCTAGATATGCGGTTTCAATACCCAATTGTATAACAACTGGGATCAAAAGCCAGATACTGTTCATTTCTAATAGCTGAGGTGTACCTGAAACATGAAAGATAGCCAATACAAACACTGGAATAATGTATACTAGAATGAGCTAGAGAGAGTGAGGTTTATTCAAAGAAGCAGAACAATGAGAGAGAGAGAGACGGTAAGATTTATAATTGGTTCACTCAACAAGGATAAGAAAAATAACCTTGTGCACATAGAAAGAGACAGAGGACATTACAAACCGTGGTTATAACAGACTTAATATTTTCCTAATACGTTGTCTTTTCCTCTTATACTAGCTTTGCACAGACGTATCGGCTTTGGTGAAATACAACAAGTCACATCATGTCAACATAAAAGAAAAGAAGATGAAAAAGGCAGAGAAAACCGGAGATCAGAGTGAGAGACTAATTCAGAGCACTTCCTCGTAAACTATAGTCTTGTAAAATACAGGAGGGATTGCACTGGATATCCTGCTTGGAGGGTGAATAAAAAGAGAAAGATTGGATGAATAAGGTCTTAGTTTGATAGGTGAATAGGGATTACTGCACCTGCTCTCAGCATTGTAAATACAGCACAAAGCAGATCAGTATTCATTATAGGATGTCGACCAAGGCCCTCTGGGGTCAATAGTGATGCCGCTCTTTAGCGAGTAACCCAGAGGGCTAAATCGGGATAATGTTTCTTTGCTTGCATACTAAAAGCAGCAAAACCAAAAATAAGAACTACGAAGGCCATTCATCTTAAGTGGGAAATAACATGGCTTCACCTAATTGCCTATAGGGCAAGAACCAAGCCTCACCAAGGTGTTTAACCAAGCTGCAAACCCTGAACCTAATCAGCCATAATGTATGGGCTCACACATACACACGGCAAAAAACGGTGAAGCACCCATACACTTACGTCAGCGGTGATATACAGTATATCCTGTCTCCTGGGGAAATACACACAGATACACAAAGAGCTCCAGACAAAATGTTCCGCAAAAGCGTGTTTCAATTAAACTCTGGTGAGTGAAATCACCCCTAAATGGCTAAAGCTGCTTTTAGCACTCACACATACAGTATGCATTGGGGATATGCTTTTTAATTTTAGTAAAGACATATCTCTGATATCCATTTCTGACATACAGATAATGTACACACACACACACACACACAGCATTCCTCTGAAAACAGCTGTGTGTCATTGTGCGTCCTTTCTTTCAGCTGGTCGTCTTCTAGCACTGACAAGGTCTTTGAAAGGGTTAGTAGATCACACAGCTGTGGTTCATACTGTTGCAACATAAACACACACCACTCAGTCTTTCTAGCCTCTCTCTTATCTCTTATTTTTCTTCTTCTTCCGTCTTAAACTCTCCTTCTCTCTCCATCTGAGCCCCATTCCCAGCTCAGCCTGGCCATCCTGCCTCGAACACACACACACACAGTTGCGTACAGGACACATCACAGACAGATGGTAACACCACTCTCAACTTTGCCAGGAAAAAGAGAGGAGCGAGACAGAGAAGAGAGCAGGGATTTATATGATTTATATGATAAATGGAAAGCAAATGAAGAGGACGGTCCAAGACATCTCTTCCAATAACCCTGCGCTCTTAAAATAACCCCTAATTTCCTGAAGAAATTCATTATATTCTTACAATCTTTTTACTCATGAATACACTTCAGTATGAAGTAGAAATGAGATTCCAACAATGAACACTATTTGTATGATGTAAGAGGAATTCTGATGTAGGTTGAAGTTACCGGCAGAAAGTGTTTTTCTGCATACAGGAAGTGAGGAATTTTATCTGGAAAATCCACATCCTATAAGCCACCAAATAATATGAAAGCATTGTAATAAAAAGTATTTTTGTGTTACTGTATCTGTTAGCGAAACTGTCGTCTTGTCAGAAAAGTCATTAATTCTTCGCTTACTTCGTCAAATTTTTAAAGATATGCATTAAAAAGTTAAAAACAGTGAAAAACAGCACAGAAATTAAAAGAAAATAATTTCATCTTCATGTGTGTAGATAAATACATCTACACACATACACCCCCCACTCTCCACAGGAAGTAGGTTAAGAAAGTGACATCTGTCTGTCTGTCTCATGTAAAGTACAAGTTTTGAGCAAAAAGTTACCTGAGCCGCAGCCCCCCTTGTTTCCATCTTTATGCTAAGCTAACCCTCTGCTGGCTGTAGCTTCACCGCACAGACATGAGTGGCATCGATCTTCTCACTCACGAATAGGCAGATCTCGCAATGTGTCAAACTATTTCTAGAGCGGTCTAGTAGATCAACACAATCTGTTGTGTTCCGCTTAATGACGTCTTATTGTATCATTTAGTATTGGCATGTATTCTTGGTATTGCCATCCTCTAAATTTAAATGCTTAACCTTTCACTGCAATTTGGAGCAACTGATTCAGAAATCACCACACACACACACACACACACACACACACACACACGTTTCCGTTCCCCTGTGGAATGTGGGAGGAATAAGGTGTCGATTCCCAGCAGGGATAAAATGTTAAATTGAAAAATTCCATGTTGAATACAGAAAACAATCACCCACTTGTCCGGGTGCATGAACGTTTATGTGTGTGTGTAAAAGAGCATGAGTCTGCGTGTGTGCGCATGTACACATGTCTGTGTCATTAGACAGAAAGCCCTGTGTAAGCATGGAAACTGCCTCTCGAACATAAAAGATGCATAGAGTAAAACACACACACACACACACACACACACACACACACACACACACACAAACAAACACACACACACACAAGCCTTTGATGTTCAGGGGCAGCTCTAGCCTCATAACACGACAGTCATTACTCATGCAGCCATTCATCATTCACACACACACACGCCCAATGACTCCGGTTTGTCCATCCTGATGAAGCATAATGGATATTCACAACCACCTAACAGACTGTCTGACTTACTTCCAGTCGACTTCACGCCTCTCTCTTTCTCTCTCTGCCTACCAGCATTCACACAGACATAGAAACACACACACATTCATGCAAAAGAAGATGAAGATTTTAAAAAATGTCTTGATTTTCTTTTTCCCCATATTTAGCAAAAATAAATAAAACAATACAATGTACACAAATCAATGATGTCATGTGCCCTCTCAACAACTTGTACTTCTCTTTTTCTGCACATGAATGAATTAATCACAAAAACAAAAACTCCTGCCAAGAAGTGTGAAACTGATCACAAGTCCGCTTCTTCTTCCAACCACAGAGATTTCAGTGATGACATAAGGAAATGAAAACCCTGTGACTGCATGTGGTTTCTACCAGCACAATGAAAAAAGCCACAGGTTATACAGTATAAGGGTAACATTAGCAAATTGGCCGTACATGTATTTCTTCAAGTCCAACTGCTGCTTTTTAAGTCTTGCAACAGGGGAGATCAAAGTTAGTTGTGTCTTGGTGTTTGTCATTCAGAGCAATGGTGAATCAGTGCATCGGCATGTCTGACTCTCTTCGTTTGTATTTTTGCTGTGCTGCTAACGACGGCAGTAAGAGGCTTTGTCATCTCTACATAGTGGAAACCGTTCATCGTGATCACGATTTGTTTTACTGGCTACATGAGGCTGGTGCTGCGTGCACACTGAAACCATGATGGGAAAAAGAAAGTCGATTTATTTCAATGAAAAACATAGTCTACTCGAAGCTTAAGACGGACTGCCAAAAACAAGCCAACGGGATGCAGCAGTGGAACTCGGTGCTCCTCGGGCTACCTCGTGTCGACCACTCAAACAAGAGAGAAACAGTCATGGCTGCCAGGGATGGAGACAGACAAGGAATCTGCACACAGGCCGCATGTGAAGGAGTCAATACAATTCAGTAAAATAACAAAGATGTCTGTAGCGCAGAAACCATAACAGGCTACACATCCACCAACAGAGAGAAAGGCCGAC